GTATAAAGCAGGACGCGCACTGAATCGACTCGGACCGGTCGACTCGGCGAAGAGCAGTCGGCAGTTTTTGATACTCATGCAATTAAATGAGGCTCAGTAAATGTGTTGCACAGTGTTGTCAAACGTCAAAATACTAAATCGGGAGAAAGTAACGTTGAGAATCGATAGATTACAGCGCAAAATCGGTAGGTATAACACAAGGATAATACACACTACTAAGGATTGCTTATCGGCATCGATTTCGGTAATCGCGGCCATATTGGTGTATCACCATTACGGACGTCATTAACTAAATCGTCAGCTGTTTGCGCCAGCGGTCCTCCTAGTTTAGAATTTAAATTTATGATTAAAAATATTATTTAATGGCTATCCTGTAGTTGTAGTGTGTATTATCCTTGGGTATAACTAGTGAGTATAACATAAAAACTAAAATCCAGCCGTGCTTTCCTTTAAGCTTTCTATTTCCGTGGAAAGTCTATCTCTTTGTACTGTTTTCATTTGATTTATTGCTGAGAATGTGCGCTCAGCGCCGGCGGAAAAATGGGGCAATAACAAGATATTAAAAACAAATTCGGATATCACAGGACCCACAGGTATTCTCCGATGAAAAAATCGGCGAAAACAAAACCGATAAAATTGATTTTTTGGCGAAAAACGGTAAAAAAATCGGTAGAATCGTATTTATTATCGAAAATCGGTATAAATTCATCAGTATTCGGTATTTCGGTAGGTCCGTTGCCATTTTGGTAGTAATACCGAAATTTCGGTAGATTTGACAACACTGGGTTGCATCGACACAAAATCCAAGTCAAAACGCAAAACTGGGTTTTTGACATCGGTTTGTCACAACAAATTGATCTCAAAAATCGGGTATTGCGTTAAACATGGAATTGTGTTGGTGCAACATCCCATTAATGTGTGATAGGCATTGAAAAAAAATTATAACGTATGTGAGATTTCAAACATTTGTACATAAGCAGTCATTTTGTCTTTTGATAGGTATTCAGTTGTTTCGATCAATTAAGTTGGCAGACGGGAGAAAATTGCAATTTAACAAACATATGTGCAACTTATGTAACTTATTGCGGTTTCTGCCATATTGAAAATATGCATATTCTCATAACTACATTTCACGTAACCAAATGGCAGACGGGTTAAAAACGTTCATCATATGAACAATTTTTGTCGCAATTTTGTTCATTGTTTATTAGGACTTGTACCAGCCTGCAATTTCTGCCAGTCAAAACTTAGGCTTTTGGTAGCAACTTATTTAATATAAATTAATGGCAGACGGGAAATAATTGATCTCAACTTTGAAAAATTTTGACATTTTGAAAAATTAAAAATAAATATTTGTACCACTTCAATTTTTCTGCCGGTGCAAAGGTACATTATTTATCTAAAATCCATTGCAACAAAACATGTTTTAGGCGGGAGAAAATTGTTTCAACATCTCAGCATTTTGATACAACTTCAAAAATTGGTAAATATTATTATACCAACCGAGATTTTCTGCCATTTACTTATTGATGTATTACATCGTAAATGTAACATAAATTTAATTTGGCAGACGGGAGGTCGTTGATCCACATGTCCGATTTTGGCGACATTTTAAAATTAGTAATATGACACATTATATCGGGTCTTCAAAAAAAAAAACAATCAAAGATTGCTATGGTTTTTTAAACGTATGTCTTAGCAATATTTTCCTTTCATTTTGTCAATGAACTTTAATGTCAAAATGTCATGTCAAAAATCCTGACCAATAATGAAACAATAATGCGACATACGTTTTCGTATTCAAAGCAATCTTTGATTGGTTTTTTTTTTTGAAGACCCGATACTAACCTAGGGTTTCCGCCGTTTAGCTTCTTTGTACTTATTTTTGTTAAAATTACCTTTACAATGTGTGGCAGACGGGATAATATTGATCCACATCTCCACTTTTCATTACATTTTCAAATTAGCATATCATTGTATTGTCACACGCGGGGCTCTTTGAAATTTCAGCCATTCCACTTCTTATTGCATAAAGAATAACCACCCTTAATGGCAGACGGGAGAAAATCGTTTCAAAAAAATGGTCGTTATGCACCGGTCTATAACTGTCGCGAGACACTCGTATTTTCAGAGGTTGCCTAGCATGCGAAAAACTCCATTTTGAGAGACAGTTGTAGGAAAAATATTATACCTCAGCTTTTTGTTTAGGCTTCTTCTAATACATCTTTTATTTTGCATTTATTTTATGCACTCAGATATATATTTATATCTTAGGTCTTTGATCTTAGAATCTGTGGCGTATTTACGGGGGGCTCAGGGGGCCCGGGCCCCCCTCAGAAATGTATTTTTGATTTTTAATTATTGAATAAGCATATTAACAAACCATAAACGACTCGGTCACCGCTTGAAAACCTAGATCATTTACACACCGAAGTGTGTCGGACCCTCACTCATTGGAATAATTTTTTTCCACCAATAACCAGGCTCTTGAACGCAACCCTGGTGTGCCAGGGTGATTTTGAACGAACTCCAGGATAAAACAGAGACAGAAATGTCTGATGAAAGAAAGCGAATAGGAGTGAGAGAGAGACACAGGGGGATCAATACATTCGATTCGATCCGTCACATTGAAATCGTCACTTCCGTCGGAATTTTTCGTTTCGATTTTTCATTTCACTACCCCCGCTCAAGGTTATTTGAGAGAGGTAGGTTGCCTGCAAGGATGATACACACCTACAGGATTGCTTATCGGCCTCGTTTTTGGTAATCGCCACCATATTGGTGTGTCACCATTTCCGGCGTCATAACTAAGTCGTAAGCTGTTTAAACAGTCTACGTCAAGGCGAGAAATAACATGCTGCCTACGTCACAACTGGTGATTTGGCTTAGGGGGGATTTGTTCTACACAGGCATTATGAGGATAGGCTATCCTGTAGTAGTAATGTGTATCATCCTTGGGTTGCCTGGATAACTCGATGACGTCATCTGGGGTGCCTCAACATAATGCAAATCTCCATAAGGCACCCCAGATGCGTCATCAAGTTACCCATTACCAGACAACCTATTAACTTTAGGAACCTTGATCCCCGTTAAAAAAAGATAAATAATTTTATTTGTTTTTATTGTTACGTTGAGCCCCCCCCCCCCCCCCCAGATGTAAATCGTAAATACGCCACTGCTTAGCATCTGCTTAGACTTTCTTTTGTACATTTTGTACCTACTTCAAATTATTAAATGCAGGTACTTATCGGGTCTTCAAAAAAAAAAACAATCAAAGATTGCTATGGTTTTTTAAACGTATGTCTTAACAATATTTTCCTGTAATTTTGTCAATGAACTTCAATGTCAAAATGTCATGTCAAAAATCCTGACCAATAAAGAAACAGTAATACGACGTACGTTTTCGTAATCAAAGCAATCTTCGATTTGTTTTTTTTTTTGAAGACCCGATATATTATACCTCAGCCTTTATTTATTTAATCTGAATCTGAACTTTATCTGGGAAATTATAGGGAGTTAAATCATGTTCTGTATATTCGATGTTATTTTTAATCAATGTAGCTATTCCACCCTTGCCATCAAGTCTGTCCTTTCTTATTACATTGTACTAATTCAGCTTAAGTGAATGTTCTTTTTTCAACCAAGTTTCGTTCAGTGTAATTATTTCAAATTTGTACTCATGTATTAATATTTTTAAATTATCAATATTTGAAAATAAACTTCTGATGTTCCATTGTAGGATTTTCATAAATGAAATTATAGGGGATTAAAACTCATCATCCTCCATTTATATGGAGGAGTCATTTCCTTTTGATATATCTTTCAAGTAGTTGTGAGCTAGCTGAAGGTCTGTTACCTTCAGGTTACCTATGATGTTAAATAGTGAATTTCTCATAAAATCTTCAGTAACGGAAGGGGGAAATATCCTCACCGACGATTCCGGAATACTCGCACTGACATTTCTAGAGAAATTTTGCAACCGCAATTGACATGAAAAATTACATTTCCTCTACAGGTATGGTTCTCTTGATTCTTACAATCAACTTACCACATTTTTGACATTTTTCTTATCCACGACACTGGCTTTTATTGTGACCATAGTTTATACAATTGAAACATTGATTTACTGGCATTATGTAGTTTTCCACTCGAGTCTCCAGTCCAAAAATTATGATTGATTGTGGAAGGAACTTTCCCTTAAATATAATCAAACAGGTCTCAGTTTTTACATATTCAACTTCGTTGTTGTCGTTCCTGATTTTTAGGTTGAATCTTTTTACTTCCAATATTTCTGATGAGCCTTGGGAATTTTTGATAATATCTTCCGTATCAGCTTCTTTCAAAATTCCTTTCACTATATTTTTACACGTTACTAGATACTCTGGAATATAAACAATATATTCCTTACTAAGTAATTCTTTATTCTGTAATAGATTATTGGCAGATTCTGGGGATTTAAACTCAATAATAATTTTATTCTTTCCTTTTTTCATGGGGCTGCTAATATTTTCTAGTTTTAAATCATATATAAATTTGGCAATTGCCGTAGGGTGTAATTGAGCCACATTTTTCCCGGATAGACCCTGTACTACCACCTGGAATGGACCTAAAGAGTGACTATCATATACGTATATGTAAAATCTTATTTTTAATTTGTTCAGCTTCAAAAAATGTGGGTAATTGTGAATATTATTTAAATTAATGTCAGGATCCGGAGGCCCTGATGAGCCCCCAGAGTTATCACACATGCTTACTCTTCAACCTAACCTATATTTGTTTCCCAGGAAAAAACAAGCAAATATGGAAATTTTTACCTTGATTTATTCCTGAAATCCTAATCAAAGGTTACACCACCTAACAGAGGAAATGTTAGTAATTTTACTTGGGATAATCACTTTTTCGCTGGACTACGCTGTCGTTGACGCGTAGGTCGAGCGTAGAATCCAATGAACCATTCTTTTTGGTTGGTAAATAAGTCTACCTCATTTTGGCGCCATTCTAGTAGGTTTAGATATGTGGCATGCAAACAGTAATTTTCAAACATAATTTATTAATAAAATAGTAATTTTTAAAGCCAACTGAAAGCAAGGGTATTTTTATTTTGGTTCATACAGCTGATAAATAATAAAGCCATGAAATTCAAATATAGGGAAACTTCCCCTTGTTATAGATAAAGCTAAATATACATATAGGTAAGTAAAAGTATATAATCACAGACAATAATTTTTAGTACAGACGAAATTTGAACCACAATAAACAGAAGGTCAAGATAAATGCGAGGCTCAATGCCTTTACAGTTCTAACTTGATTGACATATGATTTTTAAGTTATATAAAGTATAGAAACGGAAAAGATTTCTAAAAAAACACCAATATATCATCAGCCTGGTGATATGGCTCTCATATTTTTACTCAACAATACAATTAGTACTAGCTAAGCTACACTCGTCAGCTTCAATTAAACTACGAAATCGCGGATTGAAATTTGTCATCAACGATATGAACATAGATAATCTCACTGATATCATACAAGTATTATAATCGGCTACGGTCGTGGAATATTTCAAACATCCATCTATGGTGATTTTTTGTTTAGCTTCGTCGTTTACGTGGGCTTGCATCATGTGATCACTATACAAAGTTGCCCTAGAAAAAATAGGTTTATAAATTTTTTTCTGTTTGAAGTGATTATTGTATTATCTATTATTCTATTTATTTTTTATAGGTGATATTTCCATAATATGACATGATATTATGACAAATCTTCCTAGAATGGTTTATTTTCAAAGGGATTAGATTAAGATTAAGAATCATTCAGTATTAAAGTTTTATTTTTTTTCCAGAATTGAGGATAATAATTTGTAAGATGGTGTATTCCTACTTACCGTACATCCCATAAAGCCGTGCCATTTGGGTTAACTCTGCATTGAGTAAAACCTTCACAATTTGTAGATACTACAGAGGTAGGATTTAAGGAGTCTAAATTACTGTAGCTTTCCAATGATTTCAAAAAAGTTTCCATACCATTGTAATCTTCATTATCGGATGTTAAGTTTTCACAACCAACCTGAAAAAATTGTGTACTTATATCGCAATTTTTCTAATTGAATTAAGAGATATATTTAATTGCACTGAATTATTTTGAGAAATTTGCTACTTTACAGCATAATAAGAAGTATAACGGTTTAGACATTACAAAAGGTTTTTTTCTTGTATTTGATCTTATTTTTTATTTTATAAAATTGCCTTTTTCAATGGAATAATTATTACTTATTAAGTTGGTTCTACTTTTTTAAACATGGTTTTATCTAAAATAATATTTTCGCTTACCATGACAATAAAAATCAGCAAAGTCCACGATATTTTCAACATGTTGATGATATTTTGTCTCACAATAACAACAAAATGGTACCCTTGCATCAATAATAATTGGAAAAATAGTAATCATCAAAATGTTCTAATCTCTATTATTGATTGTAAAATATGGAATAGCAATATACAGGGTGTTCCTAAATATCATGTACAAACGGAAGGGAGTGATTCTTTGGTTAATTTTATGACTAAAATTTCTAATAAACATAGGTCCGCAAAGGCTTCGTTACCGATCTACAGGGTGTTGAAATTTTAATGTATTCATATCGAAAATGAGCAAGAATATGGCTTGTAGATTCCCATTGAAAATTATCAAGAATATGGCTGCGGGACCTCTATTGTCGCCACTGTAGGTAGAAAAGGGTTATTGAGTCACTTTAGTTTCATCTAGCCAATTACAGAGATTTGTTTTTTAATTTTTTTCTCGATAAGGGTCGGTGATACGAAAAAACTGCAAGAGAACAAAAAGTTTCTAAATAGGATAGGAAAATTATTTTATTTCTTAGAATCGACCATCGGCGCACTGCGAAAAAGTTCAGGGGCAGAAAAGGGGGCATGACCCCTGAAAAAACATCACCTTGTGGATTCTGGCAAACGTTTGACATGTGCAATCATCTAGCTTCTATTGCGTAACCTATATTCCAAATTTGAGCTAAATCCCTCAAAAATTGCAGGAGTTATAAAGTAAAAACTAAAAAAAAAATAAAATTTCAACACCCTGTAGATCGGTAACGAAGCGTTTGCGGACCTATGTTTATTAAAAATTTTAATCATAAAATTACCCAAAGAATCGCCCCCTTTCGTTTGTACATGATATTTAGGAACACCCTGTATACAGGGTGTCCCACTAATTTCATGACATGACATGAAAACAAAATAAAATACTCATAAATGTTAATAAATCAATAAAAAATTATTGTTTTGCTCAGTAAGGAAACATTCTTAACAAAAACCACTCGTGCTTCTAATTTTTCCTGTCGAAAAATCTAAAAAACTCGTTTGCAAGTAATTTGTTTACCAAAATACTGGCGTGAAATTTTTTTATCTATGAGTATGTGGAAGGTAGCACTTTACAGCACATGTGCGGTAAAGTACTTGAAATACAAAAATATTGACACTCGAAGCTGAAATTTTGTACCAACACATGCCGAAAGTGCCTTTACCGCTCTTGACGCAATGACAACTGCTGTCGCGTGCGGTAAAGTATCACTTTCCGCACTTGTTACGTAAATACCTATTATAACGCTCGTACCTGTTATAGTTATTCACCTAACAAATGAGGAAAGTGATACTTTACCGTACGCGACAGCAGTTGTCATGGCGTCAAGAGCGGTAAAGGCACTTTCGGCATATGTTGGTACAAAATTTCACCTTCGAGTGTCAATATTTTTGTATTTCAAGTACTTTACCGCACATGTGCTGTAAAGTGCTACCTTCCACACACTCATAGATGAAAAAAATTCACGCCAGTATTTTGGTAAACAAATTACTTGCAAACGAGTTTTTTAGATTTTGCGTCAGGAAAAATTAGAAGCACGAGTGGTTTTTGTTAAGAATGTTTCCTTAGCGAGCAAAACAATAAATTTTTATTGATTTATTAACATTTATGAGTATTTTATTTTGTTTTCATGTCATGTCATGAAATTTTTCCACTTGAAAATAATATTTGACCACAAAATGAGATTTTTTGATTGGTTTAAAATGACAGGAGGGAGATATTCGATTAAAATAGTTATTTGCAAATAACTTGAAAACAAATGCAGATATCGGATTACGGTTTGCGCGAAAATGTAGATAATTTTTTGCTCTTTAAGCAGAGTTATAAAAAAATATATCATGCCATTTGGATTTTTCCAGAAAATTAGAAAAAACTGGATCTTGGTTAAACAGCGCCCTCTAGAAGACGCGGTGGGAACTATTGACCCCGACCGAAGTGGTGCTCTTAATAACAATGAAATTCTCTTTCGAATAAGCCCAAATTGACTAAGTTTGGATAAGGGGTATGGAAGATACAGCAATATTTAAAACTATTTTTTCGCCCGCTTCCCCCACCCTTATTAGTGAAGATACGAAAAAAGGCTAATAAACAAACTGGCGCAAAAATTAACGAACTTTTGATTTCTGTTGTTCAAACAGTACCTTAATATAGCGATTTTTCGAGAAAATTTGAATTTTTAGTTATATCATCGTGATTGCGCCCCCTAGCGGCCATCTTAGAAACTTGAAAATATTTTCCATCAATTTCTCTTGGCCGATTTAGTGAAGAAAAAAAAATCCGGATGCCGTAAGGCCTATGGTTTCCATAATAACGTACCTCGTCGACCTTAGTGGGACACCCTGTATACAGAGTGACAATTCGAAAAGTAGGTAGCAATCAGGAATATCTTTGAAGGCCGGTTTATTCACCTTCTGATAAATTTTCAGATATATGCAATCTGACGGATAAAAACGCAATCTGTAATCCCATTGGTCAATGGTCGGTCAGTTATCCGCCAACCAATAGAATTATAGAAGGGTGAATTTATCTTGCAGATATTTAGCAGCAACTTTATCTGAAAATGAATAAACCGGGTCTTAGACAAAAAATACTATCAGAAAGATCTCAAATACGTATCGGGGGATTGGAGGGGGAACCAAAATGAGGCACTTTTTGAATCACCCTGCCTCCAGCCTTTAGGGAGAAGCTACCCTAACTTATTTTCCTTAAATACGAACCTACCTTGTGTTGCACATCGTTGAAGAGCTCGTTTGTATCCCTTTACAGCAAAATTTTTCGTATTTTAAAAAAAAAGTTATGGTAGGGTGAGGCAGGGTGACTCAAAAAGTGTCTCATTCTGGTTCCCCCTTCAATCCCTCTATACTTATTTGAGATCTTCCTGATGTATTTTTAGTCTAAGAATTATATTCCCCGGATTGCTACTTTTCAAATTGTCACCCTGTAGGTATAATAAAATCTACCTATTTTCGTTATCTAATCTTTAGTTAATCTGAAATATTGATTAAGGTTTAAATCTTAGGGTTTAAATGATAATGATCATACACAGAGAGAAATTTTTTATTGGTCGGTATTAAATCGGTTTTCCTGGTTTTAGTGAAAATAATTTTTTCCTAAAGATAAAATTATAATTAAAATAAAGAAGCCACACTTGATAGAACAATTTTTGCTTTTCTTGCCTAATTCATAGAATTAAAATATTTAATTGGGAAATGCGTTCTTATGAAAATAAAATGTTTGTTCCGGAAATTTTTAATCAAAAATTCCCATAATCAAAAATTCAACTTGATATTTTATAGCAGGAATCAGTGGCGTATCCAGGGGGGGGGCAAAGGGGGCAATTGCCCCCCCCCCAGAACAACTGTTTCATTTCTTAAAAATATCTCAAATAACAAAAAATAATATTATCTACTCGTGTGCGCAAAGTTATTACTATATTATGAAAAGATGCTGTACTTTTTGCTATGTGAAACTAATATAAAAAGTCACATGGAAAAATATCATCCTGGTAAGTTTAGTCTCGAACTTTGGCAGGAAAAACAAATTTTAAGTAAACCTCGCTAGCACAACCACTGTTGCAAATAAGGTCAAGCTCATCACTGAAGAAAAAAAGAACACATTGGAGTTGCGCAAAGTGTCTTTCCCGCACTGAAAGCTTATACGAACTCGGCTTCGCGTCGTTCGTCTAACTGCTTTTTCGTGCGGGAAAGTATCACTTTGCGCATTTGTTAGGAAAATAATTATTTTTGTCCTATATATAAGTAGAAGCGCGCGAATATGCCATCAAGATGTGTAATTTTAATGGCTTTTGTGCGAGGCACCTCAAAAAATTTCCGCCTCCAGCGAAAACTGGTTTGCCCCCCCCCCCAGAGCCTTAGGCTGGATACGCCACGCCACTGGCAGGAATTAAAATTCTATTTGCCATAGAGTTATAAAAAACTGCTTATAAATATAATTTAATTGTTAATAACGTAGAAACAAAATTAAATATATATAATTGGGAAAACCAAAATTTACTTGTGATAATTAAATCATCATTTCATAGAATTAAACTAATATTTCGGCAAGTTAAAAGAGACATCCTGCCAAACCGAGTCTCGCCTGTGTAGTGCGCATCCTGTCCTATCCTGCATACTACAGCTATATGCTATATTTCATACAAGTATGCAGGGGCGTTTCGATGCCTAAATTATTTTTTTACCGTGTCTATATGTATTCTTCTATTTTTTAATTTGGCCCAATCGCGAATAACTTCAGATAAGTCCATAGAGTCGGCCAAGTCCTTCTCACTTTTGAGAGACATTAGGTGATCTAGTCTTTCTTCTCCTATGGTTGTACGTGAGTCATTTTTTATGAATTTTAGTAAGCTGAATTTTCGCTCATTGGTTGTTACTGAAAATCCTTTCAATGCAACTTTCATTACTTGTTGCATATTATCAATGGTTGTGGTATGTTTATAACATAGGTCAAAGAGAATTTCAATCTTTGCTGCAAGAGCGTATTCATCTGGTCTAAAATTTGGAGGATTATTAAGGTATCTAAAACTTTAGAAAATTCCATTCTGTAGAACGTGTTTTAGTCAATTTTAGAAGTATTTTCTGCGTTTTCATCAAACCTTCTAGGCATTAGCCTTCTGCGATGATGTTTTCTAAAGTCTTCTTCTGGGGATATGCCAAGTTTTAACAAAAACTGTTTTGCACTTTCGATAAGGTTATTTATTTCTTGGTCATCCGTCTCACGCCGAAGTTCGGACGTTCAAGATCAACCTCAGTTCACAGTCTGAACCGACCATGTTCGAGTTTTTTCCTTTAAACCACTAGTCATTGTGAACTTCGGTTGAACGGAACGTCCTTTGTACAACCGGGCCTTAATTCGTTTAAGAGTTTCATTTTTACTTGACACAACTGCCGGCCGCTGCGTCCAGGATATTTAAATCTTGTTTTCAAGTGTCTGTGTTACAATCTGTAATTTGTAAAATATTATCTTCATAAATGCAACTCAAAATTCATGAGACGTTTGTTTAGACCCAAAACCCCTCTAAAATATTAAATGTATCTGCAGCAATGGCACTGACCTTTCCGCAGTGTTCGAGGGCAGTATTTATTCTGTGGGCTTGGCAGGGTACCTACATAAACAATGTGGTGGCCAACAATATTTGATACTTTTTGTTGTGCGCCTTTAAATTTTCCTGACATAGCAGCTGCACAGTCATATGACTGGAAGGACAACTTTGATAAATCAATATTTTTGCTGATCAAATCGTTCACTATGGCTATGTTCCGATATCAACTGCCAGTACTGGATTTACTGTGCTGATTTTACTGTCATTTGACGTTCCGATTTCAACAGCGTACTCTTGTGGACATTCAGTACTGAATCGACTGAATCCAGTGTACTGAAAATAATATCGGAACGGCGCCCAGTAAATTCAGTACTGCCAGTTGATATCGGAACATAGGCTATATCTTTGGCTGTTCCTTCACCAGTTTTATCGCGGGCCTCCAAAATCGATAATAAACGCTCCTTTGGGTTACCATTATCATCTACAATCCTAGCAACAATAATTGATAATATGTCCTTATTCGACGAATCTAGGGTATGGTCTGCAATAACTGTAAAAAAATTGACATTCTCAATCTCCGAAATTACTTTTTTTCGAATGTTCTCTGCTAAGATATTTATGAATTAATTTTGTGACTTGGCACTTAAGTAAGTAACATGATAGGGACGCAGTTTGGTATCTTTGAGCCACTTTACTAAAACTGGATTATGACGAGACAAAAGTTTCACAATTTGAACAAAGTTACCATCTTCATCTTCATGTCCCCGGAAAGCAATGCCTTGTGTTCCCAAAACTTCAGTTACATCAAATAATATTTTAAGTACTTCTATGTTATGGTTAAGTATGCGCTTTTCCTCCATGATCATATTTCTGGTTTCTTTATTCAGCAAAGTATCGACATGATGAGATTTTGCCAAAAACTGACAAATAATTCATAGTAGCTGCTTTATGCGAACACGAATTAAAATGCTGAGGTAGTTTCCCCATTTTATTGGAACCGGCACTTTTCATCTTCCTCCTTCTGTTATTCAAGTGGATTCAGATTTATCTCTTCCCGGACCGTCAGGAAAAAGAAAACATACGAAGTAAAAAGCAGAATCCTTAAGCAGTGTTATACTCTAGAAAATCATAATCCTTTTACCAAGCGGGATTAAACCTATTATAACCATCACTGGGGAAAATACTTGAATGTGGTCTATGAGGTCCTAATTTTATTTCGTTCTGCTTCTGGATTTAGTGGTTTTCGTAACCCAGGATCGTGCGCAACCAAAATATTTTTTCTGCGATTGACAAGAAATGTCAGTATTTTTGACCGGTTGACAGGTCGCAAAACTCAATATTCTGGTATTTTAATTATGTTTCAATAGTTGCTAAGGAATCAATGAATAACAATACAGGAATCACTTTTCCTCTTCTCGTACTGCTGAATAATTGGAACAAATAAACAAACCTTTAACAGATATTTAACCGATCGCAGAAAAAATAGAATGTGTATTTCGGTGGAAAAGCACATTCTCGGCCTTCGGTGTTTGCCGGCCTCGGCTACGCCTCGCCCGTCAACTTACACCGTCGGAGAATGTGTCACATTTCCACCTAAATACACAATATACTATTTCTGTAACGTTTTCTTCTATATCGAAACCTTTCTTTTTTATCTCCAAAATGTAATGTTCACATGCAGTACTCAACTTTTTAGCAACTGCGCTAACTTTTTCTGCAATTCCACCAAATGAAAATCATGAAAAGGACTTTCTGATTCCCCTGTGTATCTTTTCACAATAAATTGATTGGTTAGAGGTTAAACTGCGAGCAATATTTAACTTGAAGTAAACATTTACACACTCGAAGTTGGAAAACGACACATTTTCATATCCAATTGGTATGTCGACGTGGAGAAAATTAAAGTCAATATCCAGCTTTTCTTCGAAACTCTGTATTTTCAATAACATTGAAAATGTCATACTGAAAATAGATGGAAAAGTTAGGAAAAGTTCAGGCTACAATTTGGCGTTGAAAACTGTTCTGAATTTCCAGTGGTTCACTTAACAGGGCGTCTCAAAAGACTGAATATTACTGATACTCTTTCCATCCCTGTATTTGATATAAAGACGAATCAGTTAATAAAGGTCAGATGTATTCCTGAAGAATCAAGTTACAATCTGTGAACAATTCATCGAAATGTAGCGGAGGGTTTAAGAGAAAATTGATGTCAAACTTTTAGTGTAAATTTTGTCCGTTCCCCTAATTTTGCCGATGTGTGTAGTAATTGAATGGAACATTGTTTCTTACATTACATATTGTTTGAGAATTGTTTATCGCGTTCGCGTTTATTTTTCTTCTCATATAATCCTCAAAAACCGCCGCCTATACGGTTTCGGAACCATTCTGTATGCGAATTTAGGATTCTACGCACAAATTTCAGGTTTTGCGAAGAATCGGGACAGTGTCTAGTACGTTTTTTAATGTGCTGGAACAAAGCTATAATTTAACCCACCATTACCATCACAAGGTGCGACGTAGCCGTATAGTTACGTTTTCCCAAGTTGGGAAAAATGTACACAATCTAGCAAAGGGGTCCCCAGGAACAACCCTCAAATACGAATCTCAATCCCCTAGCGCCTGAAATAACATAAATACCTTTTGAGTCTGACATCCGATCCTGCCCCCTACCTATTTATCAACCCTTTTATGCCTGATGTCTACGTCTATCAGAAGAGATCCTATTGAGTGGCCGGCGCGATCCCCGGACTTAACTCCGCACGATTTTTTTTGTGGAGACAGGTAAAGAACAGAGTGTGAGTCTACGTTAACAGTCCAAATAATATAAAATCTTTAAAAGTCAGAATTAGTGGTGAAATCAGGGCCATATCAGCAACGTCTCAGAGGACTTTCTTTTAGACGGATTCAGGGATCCCCTGGTGCTCTGCTTAGAACGTCAGGCCAGATAATGGAGGCCTTACTTGTTAAATTTATTTAACCAGGAATCTAAATCAGTTTTTATTGCCTTTATTTACAAGATATTGTAAAATAAATATACTTCAAAATTTCCAGAAAATAATGATTGTTTTGCAAAACCTGCGTTATGAGGAAATATGGCCGATAATTGCAAATAACAACTTTGGCTGATTATTTGCAACCGCCTCGGATTCCAAACTTTAGCCTCGGCTGTTATTCCCTAACATTATAAACCATCCAGTTTTTCTCCATTACCATTATTCTCTCTATTATTATTTAATAATCCCTGGTATTTCTCATTCACCTTGTCCCTTGTTTACTGTAAATTTTGATGATCCATCCTCCCTACAGCCTCCTGCTCTTCCGGACGCATGTCCCAATAAAAATCAATAAATAAAATCCCTTAAAACTGCGTGTAGTAATTTTCCAGTCCCATTCATGAAAATCTGTCCCACTTTAGTTCGGAAGTGTGCCCTTAGGGCTTACATAAGCAGCCCCCTCGTTTCAACCCCTAGGGATAAATATATTTTTTGAATAGCTTATACATGAATGAGGTGAGAGGCTAATTAATGCTAGAACTACAACAGGTTGGCCTAAATAGAAGTTTATTATATTTTTGATTAACGAATAATAATTTATTTTTGTAAAAATGATTTCTAATAAAAATACAAGTAACGAAAATAGCCACATTTTGGAGAATAGGAGTCAATATCAAAAATTTTCCGAGGATAGGGTAAGTGTATTATATTCTATTTCTTTGTCAATGTTTTTGAAAAAAAATAAATTTTTTGATGGTAGAGCCGTGGTTTTTTGTAGGGAAGTAGTATAGATTCGCACGAGAATGCGTTTGATGATATGAAACAGTTGATAACGGTAAGAAGACATGAATATTAAAAATTATTTACATTTATCATGTTTTCATTTAGTTTCAAGCATGATTAAACTGGTTACATATCTAAGCTAGAATTTAGGCAGAAACAAATTAGCTCAGTTGAACAAGTTAATAATATTTACTGTTCATTTTGACGTGAACATTACCAGTGGCGGCTAGTGAAAAGAGACTGACAATCAATTGTTTAAACTTTTGATAATTTTCTGTGTTCTGAAGAAGTTGTAAAAGTTTCTGCCCTCTCTAGAACTATCTCAAAATTTCGACTTTAAGTTTTAATATTCATGTCATATTTTGGATATTAAAACTTGTAGCCCAGAGAGTAGATATTCTTGAAATTCATATTTTTCTTCTTCAGACATTTTTGGGTTTAAGGGAGCAAAGCAAATAGGCAGAAATATTGTTGTCTTTTTTACATGTTAAAGTGTCTTCTTTTGAATCTAATTTTTATTAATTTTGGTTTTATGAAGTCTTGATTTAGGATAAATTTGAAATTTATTATGGCTGACATTTTTTTAGTTTATAGAGGAAGGAAAACATAATTTTTTGTTACATAATGTAGATAAGAAAATAGATATAGGTTTAGGTGAATAGCGATTTTTATAGTTTGACTTACAATTTCCTACCATTAACACGTTAAGCGCCATGGCGGTCAGTGGTCATTCCTGGTAGGCCACGGCCGGCGGTCACCAATGACCGACTATCGCTGCTAGATTCTCAAAGTTCTCTAGGCCAGATGCCCGATAGTATGTTAAATTATATAGAACAGCCTGCCCGCTGTGGCCCATACGGAACTTCTTTATAAGTCAGGCTTTTAATTTTAGTGGCCCTATGGGAAACAGACGAAAAATAAAATGGTGCCCCTTTATTTTACATTTTCTGGCTCCTAGAGCTGACAGAATCATCACTTGCAATATATTCTGGATCATCCAGGGAGTCTGAACCGAACCAAATAGTTTTGAATCGGAGTCTTCTTGAGCTCTGTTCCAAGTTCCAATCGACATGAAAACCATTCTAGAACGGCAATTTCCAGTCAATCAATTCATTTGTAGTAGGTAGGATAAACATTCAACCTATCAAAAACTAAGTGGGCAACTGGAAATTATTGGTTCTGGAACGGTTCTCATGTCGGTTGGAACAGGATTTAGGTCTTGCTCATTCGGTATAAACTGTTTTACCGTTCAAATGATAGATTTGGTATAGTATTTACAAAGTCAGTTGAAACAAGGTAAAGGTAATTTGCAACTGGTGGCTGACTAGTGGCAGTGCATTTCTCATGAAAATATTCAGTCACCAGTTGTTATTTACTTTTACCTTGTTTCAACTGACTTTGTAAATACTATACATTCACTCGCATATTTTTCAGGCATTGTGATAGAGCCACAAATCCCAAAAAAAATACGTGTTTTGCCTGAGAATGAACAAGCTGTCAGTTGAATTACAAAGGCGGGAATTTGCGATCTAGCGCCATGCCACAAACACCTGCACAAACATGACCGATGACTAGAATGGGCTCTTTCACTAAAATTTAAATACGTAATTTAAGTATAAAATCCCAAAGGAGGGACTATTTCAGGCATATATACCAAAAAAAAAATGTTCTACAAGGTTAAATAAGTTTTTTACAGGCATTTTAAACTACTAAAATTCAAATTAATGAAAAACGCGCCGATTTGCTGACGTCGCATAAATATTTTTCATTTCGCTTGTTGTTGCAAAGAGCTGACCGCCTCGGCTGTATTTACCCTGTAGTAAATGCAGGTAAAGGTTCGAATGCGCTGTTGTCGGTGGTGAGTAAATGTAGTGCAACGTAAAATAAATAAATAAAACTAAACATAAAAAATTATAATAAATTGTGTTTAAGCATAATTTCAATAAAAATTTTATAAAATCTTGAATCCATCTGCCCTATGAATAAAAAAGAGCATTTGCTTTTTCTCGCAAAATCTGAAGCAAATGCTTCATCCAGTATGAATAAAAGTTCAAGCAAAACCTTATACTTAAAAGTCGGAAGCAAATGCTCCATAAAAAAGCAAATACTCTTTTTCTTATGAATAAAAGAGAATATTTGCTTCAAATTGGGAGCATTTACTCCTTGCAAAATGCATCTGCTCCAGAGCAGATGTATGTTTACTATTTTGGTAAATTATTTCCGAATATTCCTATGTCCCGTTTTTTTGTAGATTGTAGATTGCATTAGCAGTCTATATAGCTTGTTTCAGCTGCTCTAGTGTTCAAGATTTGTAGGCTCCTTCCAAAGGAGGCCAGCTTCCTGGGTGGTAAAGTACCCACCTCTTGGGGTGTGAGCAAGGTATTTCAGCCTTTCGCAGAAGTGACCAGGGCATTCACAGATTAAGTGTTCCGTAGTTTTTAATGCTTCTTCGCAAGATCTGCAGTAATCGTAAACTGATTTGCCTATTGTTTTTAGGTGATTTCACCAGAAACTGCCCACTGAGCAGTCGACTTCTCTAATGTCTCTTCTGTTTATTGTCAAGAACCTGTTCAGATCTCAGATATATGAATCTTCTTCATCTGTTGATTTCTTTGAAGACGTGGCTTTTCATTAGTACACAGAAAGCCACTGGGCCTTGAGAAGGTGTTAAAGCGCCTTGCTTTGTGAGACAGCCCGCCTCCTCGTTGCCCTCTTCACTTTATTCCTAAGTTAAGTGTTTAAGGATATTTTTACCCTCCCAAACTAACGGAAAATTGCACTTGATTGGGTTCTAGAACCTTTAGACCCGCTTGACTGTCCGACAGTATGTAAATGTGCTCTCTTAAAAGGACTCTTTTAAGACAATCTTGGGCACAGATGCTTATGGCCAGAACCTCAGTTTGAAATTTTGTGGACGTTTTGCCCATTGCTAATGAGAGTTTAAAATTTGAAGTTTGGTCCAGTTATTTCAAGACCGACTCCATCCGTTACCTTCGACCCATCTGTGTGACTGTGTACCACCAATCAACGGTTCCATAATGGTGCGTTGTCCGCTTGCGGTGGCTTTGCGTTCTTCCATGATTGGCGTTTTTTTACTACCACTTCCTATGGATCCATTGATATTATCGTTCTGGTAGTTTAATTTGGCATTCAAGTCTTAGATTCAAGCAACAGGTACAACAGGTATTATCTTTTTCTTCATTTCTTTGAAGCATATGCTCGCAAGTAAAAGGTCTTCATTATTCATATGATATGGAGTAAATGCTTCCACTTCTACCTTTTACTTGCAGCTTTTGCTTATACTTCTACCTTTTGCTTAGAAGCAAATGCTCTATTTTTATTCATACGGCTGCATAACTAATTAATTTAACTACTTTTCATGATATTTTGCGAACATTTCAGAATTAAATCTATTACAAATTTTATTTTCTACTTTACTATTATAGATCCATAATACCTAGGAAACGAAATACGTTAACACACCTATAACAACCTGATCCATAACGCCCGCTTTTGCGGGCGTTATGATCTATAACGCCCGCTTATAATACCTGCTTATTAAACCTTTTTGTTGTTGTTGTTCTATTAATTTGCACTTTACCCTAGGCAGCCACTAAATGTCTGACCGAAAATAATTTTCGGTCTAGCCAGGATTCGAACCCGGTCTACCATCAACGTTTCCCATGTAGTCCAGCGCGTTAACCCACAGGACCACCACCGTTGCCTTGCCTGATGAGATGTTTATAGATATATTAATTTATTTCGTTTCTATGTACAGGTCGCAGGTACAGGTACAGGTCACAGGTACAGGTACATGTCAAAATACAAATCAATATTCTGTCACACAAGTTTAATTGATTTTGTTAATAATAAATTGATGAAAAAACATTGGGTTGAGTAGAAAATAAAGCATTGTATGCACCACGGGGATTTCAAGATTATAATGCCCTTCAGGCGAAATATATCCCTCGGGCCATAGGCCCTCGGGCTAGTTTCGCCTTCGGGCATTATAATCTACATAATCCCCTTGGTACATAAATAGCTATTCAATGTTGACAATTAGTGGCAACACGGTCAAATTGCGAGCTGCGATGTCATAGAAATAAATTCTGGGTTTTTATTTGGAGGTATTTCTTTTTTTTCTGTTTTCTCAAGAGGGACTATGAATTTTTCAAAAGTAAAAATACAGAAAATTCTGTTTTTAGTTGCTTTATCCAGATATGCCAATTTCAAAAATTAGTGAAAGAGCCCATTGCAATGAATCTTCCTATAGGGCCACGGTGGTCACTAGTTCCCGCCTTAAATTGTTCTCCAAAAATATGCTAAATAATAAAAAAACATAGAAATATAGGTACTTGTACAAAATAAAAGCGGAATAAAGTAAAATAACAAAATTGAAAATAATGGCCACTAGGACAAGCTTAGCCATTTTGCTGTGGCGTTTAACGTGTTAATGGAATTGTTTAGTTTTTATAAGCCACCAGTATCGTTACAATATGAACCCATAATTATATTAATTTTGGTTTAACTGAGCTCATTTTAGGCTGTACGCAAACAATTTTAATGTGAGTCGAGGCATTAATGATTATTCCGTTATTTTCCAGGACGAGGAAAACGAAAACAAATCCTCGCTTCATTTCGCCAGTTTCAATTTCATCAACTCGATAATTGGCAGCGGAGTAATAGGTTCGTAAATTATCGCTTTAATCTGATCTGGATATAGATAGACTTTTTATCAATTTATCGCGATGAAAATTACGATGTTCCAGGCAATAATTATTATACCTTTAAAGGCATCTATTATATATAACAAATATAGCAAAGTTGTATAACGTGGTGAAGAAAGGAACAAACATGTTATATCACCCAGTGTTGTTCAGCATACTTCTTGTATAGCATGTTTCCTGTTATCCATCAGATCTGATCTCTATAATGAAGATGAAAGAAAATTTTGCTCCTATAAACGTCTTGATAACGTATTGTTAAAATATTATGTCTATGTCCTCTTGAACATAAATATTTCATAATAATGAGTAGGTACCTCAATAACGTAGGTAATTGAAAATTGTTGATGCATTTCAAAAGAACGATGAAAGACAAGAAAAAGAAAAGAAGAATTTAACGTCGAATGAATTCTGTTTTTTTGATTATTGAGCGTCACTTTTTATTGCCAAACCCACGTTTTAATGAATCTACTTACCCATAAGACGATTGAAATGATAATATCAGAATCTTGCAACAATGAGTCAGTTTGGCTTATAGGAGCAGACAAACTTGATAAGCCCTAGAAACAGCGGCTTTCAACAGATATTGGAACAGTGAGTTTTCTGGAACATTCGAAAATACTGGAAAACTAATGAAAAATATTGAATGGGATCATCATCATTATCACCCTAGCCATTTCCGTCCTCTGTCCTGTCGCCGGACATAGGCCTTCTTTAGATATTTCCACTTCCCTCTGTTCTGAACGGACTTTTCAACTCATCTGTCCATCTCGTGGGTAGTCTTCCTTGTTTCACTTATCTGATCTCGGCTCCACTCTAAAGCTTTTTCTGTCCATCTACCATCCTTCTGCCATCCTCGGTTTTACTTAACTGATTTAGATCTCACTCTAAAAGTTTTTTTGTCCATCCAGGATGGTAATAGAAGAGCCTTGCGATATGACCAGTCCATCTCCATTTAGATTTTGCGATTTCCTCTATCATGTCTTCCACTCCAGTTCTTCTTCGGATCTCGTCGTTTCTTATTTTGTCTCTCAGAGTTATTCGCAGCATCGATTTTTCCATCTTGCGTTGTGTGACACGTATACCTAGCTTTCCGGCTGATGCTTTTCTGAGTGTTAGGGTCTCTGCTTCATGGGCGAAAGCTAGCAAGACGCACGTATTAGAGGTTTTCCTATTCAAGGATATGGGTATATCATGATATTTGAATATATGTCTGAACCGACCCATATGCCGCCCAACAGAGAGTCATACGCCTTAAAAGTTTGCACGTTTGATTGTCTCTGTCAATTCTAATCTCATGTCTCAAATAAGAGTATTTTTCAACAAATTCTATTTCTTCTCCGTGAATTTGTATATTTTCACTGGGGATTAGGCTTGTTATTGCCTTAGTCTTGTCGCGATAATTGATGTTGAGACCCACCATCTGTATTGCCCTTTGAAGTTCTTGTAGTTTGTAGTAGGTCGCCTGTGATTAGTAATACATTATTTGGTTTTTCTCCATCTACAGTTATGCCTTTGTTGTTCCATTCTAACATGTTCCAATTGGTGATATAATATCGCCCTGTATAACTCCTCGTTTGATATCTATTTTTTTTTATGTATTTTTACGGTGGTTGTTGTTTTAAAGCATTGTAAATTGCCATTTGTCCCATATACAGTGCGGAAGCCAGGTCTGGCCTGGTCTCTTGTTTGATAAAAATCGAGCTTAACAGTTTATATAGATGTGATTTAGGAGGCTGGATAGGTCTATAATTATAAATCTTCGTTATGTCCCCTTTTTTGTGGAGGAGGATAATAATCGCATTGTTCCATTTAGAAGGGAACTCTTGGTTGTTTAGACATAGGTTGAATGTTTTTGTATCTTTTCTATTAACCTTTACCTATTTTTATAGCTTCTGCCACTACTTTGTCTTCCCAGACGCTTTTTTATTTTTTATTTTCTTCAGGGCATAGTTAGTTTTTCGTGATATCGAGAATGTCTTCTGCTCTTTCGTTTTGTATTTTGTGTAGATTATGACTTGTTAGGTCGTGATAAGGATTTTTGTTTGTGTACAGTTTTTTGTAAAATTCTTCTATGATCTTTATTACCTATTTGTTTTCTATTTGATGTTCTATTCCCCTCCTTGTCTTTAAGTTGGGAAATTTCTTTTTTACCGTTTGTTGTTTGTTAGTTGTTTACTCAATACTTTCATGCTTTTGTTTTTTTCTATTATTTGTACTACTTTGTTATATCTCTATTTCCTGATATCTTTCCTCAGTGCTTTTGATATGTCTTTGTTAATTTTTCTCACTTCTTGTTGAATTTATTCCATTTTTGTTTTGGTTTCTGGGCTGATTTTTTATTGTTCAGGGTTTTTTTGGGTAGTACTTCTTCTATGCATCCATTAGTGCTTCGGTTAGGTTTTCATTTAAATCATTTATACTTTGAATTGCTGCTTTTAGACCCTGAGATAGGGCCTGTTTTGTGGAGTCATTTTTTCTTGTCTGGCATTTTGAGGGGCGAATGTGGCTAGTTAACTGATGAGAATATAAGTGGTTTTAATGCCTGCTCCCCGTTCATAATGTCCACAGAACTTTTTGCGGATTTGCTCGATTTCGAACTGTGGTTACCCTCTGGCGATTTTTCAGCGTTATTTTTACAACCAAACCTTTTAATCTCTCGATTGCTAGACAGAAATAAAATGCGGAAACTGCTATACTTTTCTCTTGCGAGTTGACAACCATCCCCACTTTTTCAGCCATTGAAAAGCATGAATTTTTTATTTTTTTTTTGGGTGAATTATTTGTCAACACAATTAATTTAAGCAAACATTAATGCCCCAAAGTCTAGAATAAACGAATTTGAACAGACCGACAGTAATGCGAACAGGGCGCTATCTATCATAAAAAGTCCTATGTAAAGTAGGTGACTGTAGCATCGATGCAAAACCAGTAAATAGTAATTTTCCGATATGGTAGTTGGCGCTGGCTTGGCTCAATTTTGTTGACAACAAAATTCACACTGAGATTCCATTCTCGACAGTTTATATAGTATTTATCTCTGTTTGTCAATGTCAATCTTTTATTCAAAATGCAGACAATTTAAGGCTGTGGTCGGAATATACCCAGGGTTGTGGTTTCGCAGTCCGAAAGTAATCAAATTACTCTGGTTCCTGGAGAAGTGGTTACTTTTGGAACTTGGTTTCCTGAAATCTGGTTAACCAAATGTGAAAATAGTTACCGGCTATCGGATGTCGGTTCTATAGGTTTCATCTGTAATTTCTGTCAATTATTTTTTATTTCATTTTCGCGTTCCCCAAGTAACTGGAATTTTCAGTAACCATCTGTCAACCGATTCGATTCGGTTTGGTTAACGTGTGGATATATTCGGAACATAGCCTAAGATCATTAGAGAAAAATGCTTGATGTAAATGAACTTCTTTCTTCTCCAAATTTTCGAACTGGCGGCAGGCTTTAAAATCATCCATATTCTCATCAGCTAACTACCCACATTCAGCCCTCAAAATGCCAGACAAAAAAAAATTACTCCACTAAACAGTCCCTATCTCGAGGTCTATTTGTTTTTCAAGAAGTTTTCGAAATATTTTTAAAAAATTCCTTATTTCCTTTGGGTGTGTCCATGTTTTGGGAGTTATTTTCTTAATCAGTATGGTTCTTTCATTTTCGAAATTTATTTGGAGAGTAGCTCTCATCATGCTCTTCCAGTAGTAAATTTGTTTATAACTGACATGTCTTTGAGAATCTTTTTTTTTATCTGTTACAAAGTAGTCGATTTCATTTCGGATCTTGCCATCGGGGCTTTGCCAAGTCCATCTTCTTTGGATCGGCTTGAGGTATAGAAGCTGTTCATCTGGTAGATATAGTAGATTTTTTTCAAGCAGGACGCCAAGCATAGTTTTTCCATGCTCGTTTCAACCTGGGCTACCAAATTTTCCGAATGCGGCCTCGGTTGGGTTTGATTTTATTCCAATTTTGGCGTTAAAGTTTCCGCACAGTACCATGATGTGAGTTTTGCTATCTTCTATAGCTCTACAGTCTCTACAGATGGCTTCGTAGAATATGCTTATTTCATCTTCGTTGTGTTTAGGACGGTGCCATATACCTGAATGATTTTTATGGTGTACCTAGTATCAAGTATTACTTAAGTCATAGAATAGCGTAGCATATACCCTTGTTGATATTCAATGATATTGGCTACGTTCACCAGAACCAAAACGGATTGTAAACAGTTTACAAATACCAACAGAATATGTTGGGTAAACTCTTGGTTCTGCTGAACGATTCAACTTTTCAATGATAGAACGTCACCTTCTAAATGACAGGTCACCACACAAAAGACAGTGTTGAAAATTATAAACACTCTGAAATTATGCTTGCAAAAATGGCGACCGTTTGCAAAACATGTTTGGTTTTAACACAAATTCAACGTAGCGTTCAGCAGAACAATCGCAAACCGTTTACCAACGTTTGTATCTGGTGAACGCGGCCATTGCCTGTATTGAGTATTGATATACACAGTGTGTAAAAAGTCCCGGAACAGTCATTTATTTTGAAAATGGTGCACAATATAAAAAAACTTCCTGTATAAAAGTTGAAGGTTTTAATGAAGTCTATTGAAATAAGACTTTTGTAATTATACGGGGTGGCCCAAAAAGTTGTGCTATACAAAACTTCATTTTTTTTAAATGGAATGATCCTTTTCTAATTACATTTTCTAATTCCTCTGGAGATTCCAAACAACAATTATGAAACATGTCATATGGCTAAACCCATTAGTTTCAGAAATAATTTAAGTTGAAGAACATAAATACGATATTACCTACATTTTGCATTGTTTCGAGTTAGTTCAAAATGGTCACCAGACCTAAAGCCCCTTGATTATATTCTTTGGGGACATCTGAAAAATAAAGTGTTTGTGACAAAACCTGCAGATCTGAACGAATTGAGAAGAAGAATTATTGA